TAGTTCCTTGAGCTACAAATTAGACATTTGGACTAACTAACTACTACATTGGCCAAATGCTACAGGTTGGCGTCAGCTTACAGCCGGGTTTACCACTCCTGGTACGGCTTATCAGCCGTTCCAACTCTGGCTACCCTCTTAAGCATTTTCTAACGGGTATCGGCCGCCGTAAGGGATATGTACTATCGGCCTACCGTTTTATAAGCAGAATGGGATATATATGCCTTCTCACATGAACGGGTTATGCCCGGGATTTCTGCCTCGGCCCCTGTATTTCTTTATCGATGAACTATATACCGTTATACCAACATCCAGTTGCCGGTATATCTGTGTTATGTTAGATTACCGGTTTACCACATTATCCTTTGTAAAGGTCAACCATGATTGAAATATCCTTACTGCACTGAGTTATCCACTTTATCGAACTAAGTGGTTAGTATGCTGAACTTGTCGACCACCTTTCAACTTTCATGGCAAACCCATTTTCATTGATAAAGTGAAGTATAAACAAAATGACAGGGTGTAAAGGATATTAATTAAAAGCGAACTATATATTTCGAAAAGAGGGTGGGCGAATGATGGAGGGCGGAGGATGCTAGTGATTCGAAGCACAGATTGCTATTCAAATAGTGCACATGTGCCAAAGGCCGGCTAAAGTGGCATGCAACATCGGTAGTGTAAACGGTGGGAGCGTCTAAACCTATCTAGCGAATACGGTCCAGCCGTAATCTGTTCATATGGATTTGGTCGTCCACGAAGTCGCTCTGGGGAAAGATAAACGTTAGCTAATTCCGAACTTATATTGCTTCAAAAGAGAAAGGTAAGCGCGGTAAAATAGGTACCTTTCCAATGATACGCTTGATGTGTGGGTCTTGCTCGTCGATCTCCCTTCCAGTAGCCTTAGCAAGTGCATTCAATCGAGTGGCAGCACCGTGCAGAGCATCCAAGTTCGATTCGATTTCATTCTCCATCTCATCATCCTCGCTATCCTGCTCAAACTGGTATTTAGAACGCTCGGCAAGGTTGGTCCTCTTCGGCCCAGTTTCACCCTTCTTCGATATCTCCTTGAAAGTCTGGTCCATTCTCTGTTCCGTGCGGAAAGCAGCAAGCCGGGTCTCCTCACGTTGTAGTCGCTCCTCCTGGTGGCGATCAATGATGGCCTGGTCTCGAGCACGACGGCGTTGCTCGCTAGTGAAGGGGTTCGAAATATGCATGGCAAACATACTTCCGTTCACCTTCTTCAGCTCCCGGGCCTTCTCCTCCGCAATTCGGTTCTGGTTAGCAGCCAGGTCAAGATTCTTCCCCGTGTTATGGATTCGTTCTCCTTGAGCACCGAGGCGAGCAAGGGTTGCCCTTCCACTTTCTTCAGCTTCTGCGGCCAATCTCAGTGCATTTCGGGTTGACGACACGTCCTGCTGTTTCATAAAGCGGATGTCCTGCTTTATGGCCTGGATGTCTTCCTCTTCCTCTTCCTCCGCCGTAAGCTGTCGGTCTTGGTATTTGCCATACGTAGGGCCGCTCGGGCCAGCAGGCTGCTGTTCGTTATATGGAGGAGGCGCACTGCTTGTCTGTCGCTCTTGGTATCGACTAGCTGCATTTCCAAAAAGGGCATCCCTGTTACCATCCTTCATGCCTGGATCGTTCGGGTCAGCTCTCCCCAAGCCACCGTAACCACCACTGTTAGCAGCAGGAGCCCCGCCGTATCTATCCTGTCCATAGCTCCCTTGGTTCCCCTGTCTTCCTGGTGCAAATCCGCTATTGGAGGGAGGTCCGCCGTATGTTGAGTTAGGTTGGTGATTTCCTGGCTGGCTCATCCCACCATATCCCTGAGGCCGTGATCCAGCGTAAGGGTCAGTGGAAGGTGGTGGTTGGGCATAGGGGTTGTTTGATGGCGCAGGGCTCTTGTTCTTTGACCGTGAGCCAAAGAGAGCTGATCTGTTACTGTCATCCCCGTTGTCATCGTTTCGTTTGCCGAATCCAAACTTCTTCATGGCGGCTGAAGCTGGCTGGGAGAGGAGGGGGTAGTGTAGCGGTAAGTATGGATCGAAGGCAGCCACCGATGTATAACTATGAGCAAGTCGAACGTTGACGTAATGAAATTTTCAATCACTTAGTAGGGGCTTTATAGTATTTTCAGGGAGGGATATAGAATCGTAAAAGAGCAGGATGAAGCCCCTAAATGCTGTCGTTAAGCTGAGATCGTTCATGTCTCAAGTGTCACGGCCTGGCTGCCTTAAGTACCTAATCCAGCGTTAGGCCGTCCGTCCACGCCTGCGGCTCTTCACGTGACTGATATGTGGCGGAGTTTGGGCCCTCCCCTTGAACTAAGCCCAAAAGAGCAGCCAACTAGCGACTACAAACATCGTCAAGGCATCGTTGTTTATTCAATCCCATAAGCCACCTCACGACAGATAAGCAAAGTACGTACGCATGTTGGGGCAATGAAGCTGCCGCTTTCCAGGGGCACCTATTCCTGGTTTAAGTCACCGTTTCAAACAACCAAGTCCTGAAAAATGGCTCCCCATCCCGGGACTGAGGCAGAATACCTCAGGGAGAAAGCTAGGAGAGACCTTCTTAGCCTCTTAGAAGGAGTGAGTTCACAAGCTCTCTGGTTTCACAGGATATTTTAAATGCCTAACAGTATACTGCTAGGTTCGCGGGAAGAAGAATCTTGTGGTTAGCAAAGACCTAGCCGGGCCGGTGGGCCTATTTGTGAAGTTCTCCGTCCTCCAGGAATATGGGGTAGACCGAGTATTCCTCCTCGAAAATGGAAACGTCGATTCCTCTCAACGGAATATTATCTTCCTGGTTCACGCAGAGAAACCAAATCATGTACAGTCTGCTGCTGGTACGTACTTGAACTCCCCATACCAGCCTTGTATATTATTTTGCATCTTCTTTTCATGGTTGAAAACAGAGGCCAGGTAGAAAATATTTTCACTCTACATGGTTATTTATGCTTCCTAGATTGATATTTTTACAGTGCAATTGTTGCATTCTTTTTTTATGATCTATTCCCAATTGAATGCCGCGCCTTTCAACTAACATGTCCATTTATCTGCGTAGATCAAATAAAAAGGCTGCAGAAAAACGAGTCAAACATTGAACATGAGTTCTCCGTCTTCTGGGTACCAAGACGCACTTTAGTGTCTAATCAAATTCTAGAAGAAGAAGGCATCATAGGGGATGTCAGTATTGCAGAGTTTCCTCTGTATTTTCTCCCGCTTGAAAACGATGTCCTCTCCCTTGAACTTCCTGATGCATTCAGTGACTTATACCTGGTATGTGCCACACATTAGCTCTTTTAATGAGATCTTCCACTTACAATTCAATAAGGATCATAATCCCCAGCCAATTCATCTATCAGCCAAAGCTTTGATGCAAATTCAATTACGACATGGATATTTCCCTCGAATTGTCGGAAAAGGAGACAATGCTCGAAAGGTCGTCGACCAATTGCTCCGAATGAGGAGAGAATTAGATGCCGAAGGCAGCCTGGGTGGATCAGGTGGCAAGCTAATGGCGAGCAACACGATTGAGAACCTCATCATAATTGACAGAGATGTAGACTTTGCCACAGTTCTCATGACACAGCTGACTTATGAGGGACTTGTGGACGAACTTTTTGGGATTAACCATAACCACACCGAAGTTGATACCTCAATTATTGGATATGCGGCCCCTCAAGCCTCATCTAATTCTTCAAACACATCTAAGCAAAGCTTGAAGAGGAAAGTTCAAGTCGATTCCTCCGATCAGCTCTTCTCACAGCTCCGTGATGCTAATTTTGCAATCGTCGGTGGCATATTAAACAAGGTTGCAAGGAGACTCGAGAGTGATTATGACAGCCGACATGGAGCGAAATCAACCTCAGAGCTACGTGAATTTGTCAACAAATTACCAGCATACCAAGCAGAGCACAGTAGCTTGAAGATTCACACTAACCTTGCCGAAGATATTATGCGTCACACTCGGTCGGATATATTCCGCCGGACCTTAGGAGTGCAGCAGAACATCGCTGCTGGTGCAGATTCCACTTCCCAGTACGATACGATTGAAGAGCTTATCTCTCGTAATGTTCCGATCACCACCATCTTGAGGTTGCTGTGCATTGATTCCTGTATCAATGGCGGCCTCCGGCCCCGGGACCTGGATAATTCCAAGAAACAAGTCCTCCAAGGATATGGCTACCAACACCTTCTGACATTAAACAACCTAGAAAAGATGGGACTTTTACAGCCTAAGGTTCCTTCGACCGGTATTTTACTGCCGGGTGGTTCAAATAGTGCAGCCGGTGCAAAAACCAATTACAACTCTCTTCGCAAGTCACTCCGCCTGATCGTGGATGAAGTTGATGAGCAAAATCCGAATGACATTTCGTACGTTTACAGCGGCTATGCTCCCTTGAGCGTTCGACTCGTTCAGTGTGTATTACAGAAGGCATATGTCCAGGCACTTGTTAAAGGGAATCCTTCACCTCAAGCTGCAGCTGCAGCCGCTGGTGCAGCATCAACAACTCCGGGCTGGCTAGGATTTGAAGACGTTGTTAAAAGTGCCCGGGGATCAAGTTTCAATATAGTCCCGAAGGGAGATGAAAAGGCTGCCCGAGCGCGCCAGACCTTAACAGGATCTGGAGGAGCGAAGACAGTTTTCGTTTTCTTCTTAGGTGGTATAACATTCACCGAAATTGCTGCATTGAGATTTATTGCCCAACATGAAGCTGGGCGTCGAAATATAATTATCTGTACTACGGCGATTTTGAACGGAGATAGGATGATCAAGGCAGGAATGGAGCAAGGGGATTTTGCAAAGAGTGTGTGATAATTAGGTCAAGAGGTTTCAACGCGTTTGAACACAACATTCAAGCGATAGTTTCTAATGAGTGACACGTTACAGAGTTGCAAGTCTCTACTAGCGTTACTGGTTGTGATGAATCTAGAGTTGAAGACTTAGATGAAAGGTAGCATTGATATATTGGTTGCAATAGTAATTATTTTATAAATACATGGGCAAGAGAAAGGCTGCGCTCAAATAGAATGTGGAAAATTCACAGGATGCACTGATACATATATAAACTGAAACCTGCGCCATAAAAGCAAGATCCAAACTCCTTGATTAACCCACAATTACAAGATAATGCCTAATTCACACCTTCCTAGCCCATCCTCTTCAATTGTAGGATAGTAAGGAATCATCGAGTCTGCGCCTTGAACATATGCATCGTTGTACAGTCTCCAGTAAGGAGTCCGTACTTTTCGTGCTGGATGGAACAGGCCGGCCCAAACATAATTCATGACGATACCTGTTCCGACAGCCATCCGAATAGCCTCAATAGCTTCGATGATTCTGTCAATAACGTGGGGACTGGTTTCGAATAGGTTAGGGTACAGAAGGTTAAGCAGATGGACCATTGCGTCTTCGCATCCAAGTCCAACCACGCCCAAAGCAATATGCTTTACTACGCTTGCCGCAGTTTGACGGTGGACCTGGTCTCGATCAATCAAAGCGTCTTCCAGAAGCGGAGTGACAGCGTAAACATAGTCTTTAGCCATCTCACCGATATACTCAAAGAGGAAAGACATGGCTTTGAGCACGCCGTTTTGCACATTTAACTCGGGGACGCGATATTCATTCATAAGAGCCGGAAGAACCGTAAATGGGGCACATGTCTCAGCGACTATACCAATTGCAACTGCGGTACAGACACGAGACTGACGTTCCTGGACACGCAAGTTGTTAAGAAGAGTGGCAAGGACGTCTTGCGGCCCAATAGCCTTAGCAATGAAACCGAAGGTATTGTTAGCTGCTCGTCGAATGCCCTTTTTGTGAGCTTTCAACATGTCAAGCAGCTCGAAGCAAATTCGCATCCATTCTCGCGCATTAACGGATTCTGGTCCACGATCAGCAATACGACCAACGAGATCTATGGTGTTTTCCTGCACTTTCTCATGACGATTTCGTAGAATTGGGGTGAGACGAGGAAGTAAGTCCCGAATGGGTGGTTGCATTTGGTTGATACCAACAACCGTGACGATAGAACGTAATGCGCCTAGTATAGAACCAAGAACCTCCGGATATTCCTCGCCGAGATATTCGTAAAGGAAAGTTCCCAGCTTTCCCATTAGAGCGTCTTCACCACACTGTTTCATAACCATTGCGATCCGTGAGATGAGGTCTGCTGCCTGCTGTCGTACAGTGGCAGACTTGTTATTTAGTCGCCACAGAATTGTACTCACAATCTGAGGCAAATATGGCTTGCAACGAGAACCAAGAGCGTTGACAACAGTTCCAAACCCGTTAAGGATCACTATATCCTCGACGCTCTGTTCTTGAAATGCGAACAAAACTCCATCTATCAATCTTTCTTCGAGCCTCTCTCCAACGTCTGCGGCACCAAGGGAGGCAATAACTTTCTCTACCGTTTCGATCGTCATCTTACGGTATGCCTCACTCTCATCCTTGAGATTATTGACAATCCTTTCAAGAATTTCACCGGCGCCAACTTTCTGGCCTAGGTCCACTGTTGTCTCTACCACCTGTCGGTAGTTTCTCTTATCTAGAGCCATGCGTCGAACCCAGAAACTTTTGAAGAAGTCTTGGAGTACGTGTTCTTTAAGGTAAACCGCTGTAACGCCATCTGTGCCTGCACATTGCGAAACAACTTTCAAGACCACCTTTTTCATCTCTTCATCTGGCGACGAAAACTCTCGGAGAACAATTTCCATAATTTGGCTGGTGAAGTAATTTGCACCCTCCTCATCCATCAGAGGGATAATATAGCCCACAGCCTTAAGGAACCCAGCCAGACCTTTGCCTCGCTGTTTCCTTGCCCCCATCCAGAGTGGGCCAAGGATGTCCTGGAAACTTTCGATACCATATGGATTGGCAGCTTCGGCAAGGGCGGCTATAGCTAAGCTAGTTACTGTCCGTACCTTAGCTTGTTCATCACTGAGGTTGTCACCAATGCAGTCGACCAGGCCTTGGAGATGAG